ACTGTGTCCAATTGCCCCGTGTCCAACTGATATACACCCCAAACGGAAATGTGGATGTTGCCCAAAGAGCACCAAATCTTTTAACGGATGAAGGTATGTGAAGCATTAAATGTACATTAAATTTATAGAATTGTATACCGTATAACTGTTCAATTTGAAATACAAAACGTTGTATAGCAATTTCAGCTGAAGAAAAATCTGTTTGTTATTTTTTCTTGCAACAATATATACATACTGAACACTAGATAAAACCAATGCTTAAGATATGCTGTAGGCATTACATTTTGCATACATATCATGGGATAATAGAGAAGAAAATGTTTCCATTCAGAACCTTTCCACATTTTTCTCTCATTAATTGACCGTGGAGTTCGCGTTATTTCACATGGCGGCTTTATCTTTAATAGTTTTCTATCAAAGATAGTCGTCTTGGTGCCAAGATACCATGGTTTGTCATGATAAGCAGAATCAAACCATGCCTCAGTAAATGTCTTCACGACTTCCAATAAAATACTATGAAGATAATCCGGCGTAAACGAAGTGACAATATTGAATACTGGTAACAGCATAAGAATAGAAGGTCCTTTGATACCTCTCACAATCTTGCCACCCTGCATACATATTTTACAATCTTGTTCATGTTGACGTAGTGTTCTACTACTGCCTACATCTCCCGGATAAACTCTTGTTGATCCTCTTCCCACTGTGACCTGCTGACCTTCATGCAAGCAAAATGAACAACCATATCGTCCATTATATTGTACAATTTCTTGAAGAATTGGCCTTGCAACAGAATCTACAGGGCTTACAATTGTATGAATTTTTATACACATTTTTTGTCCGTTTACATTCCGTATGATTCCTTTCTCATGTAAAGAAGTCAATTCTTCAACAAAAAAATTTAAATATAAATGCATATTAGGTTTGTCGCGACCATACTATAGACCACAAAGTATCATATTTTCTCTTCGAATTCTATATGGCAATTCATTTATACACTTGGATTGGCCACAGAGAAAATGGCGAAGAACGGCACAGTTTAACGCCATCCGTATTAAATTGCAAAGTAATATCGTTTTCAGAAATCATACTATTTTCTACCATTGATCTATAAAAAGTCCCGGAAGATACATCAGAAATTGACTCATTCCTCTTAACTAACAAATCATAGACATGACTGTTTACAATCTTATGTAATTGGCTTTGTAACGGAAGACGTATGAAGTAGTACATGTTATTTGTCAAAAATGACTTCATATATTTTGTACTGCATTGCAAACATGTAACATTTGTATTCTCTTTAAGATGGTTCAGATTTAACCCTTTGGGGACGGAGCCGCTCGACGGGCTATAAGGAAGATAAGACTTCATCGCTAATGGCCCCTAATGTCTTTGAATGAAAACGTGACTCTTTTACTATACCTATGCGTATCTTATCGCTCAGAACGACAGACGTCGCGAGCCTTGCAGCTACGAACTAATTTGGGCGGCTATATGCCGACACGCGTCCGGAACGGTAAAACGGCTTGGGCGGCTATATGCCGACACTCGTCCCCAAAGGGTTAAGATTCTTTCGCAATTCGGACAATAATAATGTTTGCATACAGAAACGAAATTTTCATACTCATTGAAAAACATGTACTTACTTCTGAATACAAAAATAGGTAGTAACAAATCTATCAACTCAATAAGATGTTCTAATGCTACGTCACTTAAATGATGACGAATGGTGAAATGCAAGAGTAATAAATATCCTTCTTCTTTTGATATACGAGAACCTTCATAAAGTGAGTCTCGAGTCTGAAAAACAAAATCATTGTATTCATTAAGGGGACTTCATTTAAATGCAAACAATAAAATGTAAATGTAAATGTGTTGAATGCCCAATGTATTACAATATAAAAATTATGGCAACAAATTTTGTTAATATTTGTTACAAAAATTTACATACATTGTTGTCTCCTGGGATGTATTCAAATTTCTCGATATCTTCTGCATCCTCAAACGCATCGTTATCACTATTATCATAGTTATCTTCATGAAATGAATTATCATCATCTTGTGTATCATTGTCATAACTATTACTGGATTCTTCCTCACTTGGAATATTTGGAATTGACGATACTCTACTCAACATTTCTTCGTTCTACAAAAAAGAATATGCGTTTATATTGTGTGTATACACTTTCACATATTTTTATTGTATATAATAAAGTACTGTGACGTTTTTCATAAACAGAAAGATATAATTTACTTACATCACTATTGGATCTACTTGATACAGATAGTAGGTCATTATATTCACTATTTCCATGAATATTCCATGAACGTGACTGTTGTTGTACATCAATGGAGTATGGATATTCATGTTCCATGTCCATTGTCTGCATATGAAACATGAATACTGTTAATAATAATATATAACTAATTAAAGAACCAAATATATGCATAATAATATATACGTCAAATCATTAAAAAACTGAACCAAGATGAAACTATCTTATGTTGTATATATACTAAGTATCCCTATTGAAATCATAAATTAACAATTCATTTTATTACCACGTCGTTTAATTGCAATTGTTGGCTGCATTGTGCGTTATCTACATTAGAAGTAACTACTGCTATTGCTCTAGAACGTAGTGTTGATTGTGGCACTTCACGATCATTCCTTAAGTAGGACTTGTAAGAGCCTCTTGCACAGTTGCTATCCACTGCACTATTCATATTTTTACCAACGTTGCTAAAATGAAATAACAAATGTAGACCTTATTAATTTCCTACTTTCTTGTAATATTTTGTAATACGCCAGCAAATCGAAGTTAACGCTTCTGTATTTATTCGGTTCAAGGTTAGTGTCCATAAAGGCCAGTGATGGCCCGTGCGGAACAAAATCTCACAGGCTCGAGTTTGTGCATGCGTCAGCTACGTCATCCACCAATGATAACCGCAGGAGTGACTGCCACGTCACTCTACGCATGCGCAGAAGGTCTCTTGCCGCGAAGAAAATCTAGCGAACTGTCAACACTGTCCCCCATCCCTGCACTATAGGCGATTCGCAGTCATACGCTTACATTTGCATTTGGGGAGACACTATTTGGCGCTATAAACGTGTTATGTCCTTGTTATTTACTGAAAATTGAACAAGAACAGAATACGCTTTTAGCGCCAAATAGTGTCTCCCCGAACGCAGCTATTGTATAGTATTTTGTTTTAAGGCTACAGTTACAATTAATGTGTCGCTTTTTCTCGCGGATTTGTGGCGGCAGCACAAATACACTGGCGAAACGTTACGTTAAGGACGTGAAAGTTCTGGCGAGTTCCGGCGAAAGAGAAAAGAGTTAGGGTAAATATTATAGATATTATCATTTATATTAATATTAAATGCAAAGAACAAATACTGCGTCATTACTTACCGAACTCACGTGTCACCATGTTTGTGTCCGTTTTAGTGCTCGGCTTTCTGCATTCTTTTATATTTACTGTGCATGTTTCTAATTGATTTATTGTAGTAGGTAGTAGTCTGAGCTTTTTGGGCATGAGTTTATTGAAAATACAGTAAACAAATTTACTTGATGACATGGATATCATGTCAAACGACAAATACATTGTTTGCGGCTTTCCTAACGAGAACAATAAAATATCTATTGCGTACAAAGAGTGGATAATTTCTCAACTTGACGATGATGGTTTGCAAGGCATCATAGATCAAGGAACACAAATTCAATTAAAATGGCCGAAAAACTGTGTTATCAAGATGCATTTTGCAACTATGGATAAAGTGTTAAAAAAAGCGGACTGGGAGGTTACTGTGCAGTTATTCTGGCACATGGTAGTAAGTGAATATTTTTTATTCTGTTATTTTAATGTAAGGACAGTGATAATCATTGTTGTATACACTACGATCCTATGTAATAAATGTTATGTGTAGTTTGGACAGAAATGACAGAAGTTGTCGCCAACTTTGAAAAGTATGGAGTTGTTACGTCCTGTGCAGACATGAC